TCAGACACCTTACTACTGCTTGGTGGTAAAGTAACGCATAGGATCAGAGTAAGAGGTAAGGCGTCAGGTACTTACTAAACTCAGACAGCTGGTAAGTGATGGTTTGGACGACTAGAGGTGACCAAATTAAGCGAGCAGTAGGAATGGATGGAACATTGAGGAGCCATGTGTCTCTTTGCAAGCAGCAGAAGCAGTGAGGAAAAGTTTCCTTGATGATGTATGGCAGCACAGAGCTCAGAGCGCACATTACTCCACCCAGCAGATGAAGTCCGGGCTCAGTTGCACAGCATTAGCCCCTTCCACTGCAAAACCAGCCAGAACAGGGATTAAAAGTGCTCAGCAACCCAAATTATTGAGGTAACTCCCAATGCTCGACACGTCTGTCCTCCTAGGACACTAGGAAAAAAAACTGATGCATGCTGGTAGTGGGTGGTTTTTTTTTCTAGTGTTCATTACTCCTGTACTCCCAACCTAAAAGTTAAAAGGACTTTGTCTCCTGCAGTGAGATGTTGTACCATTTCACCTAGAATATCCAATGTAGTGAAGAGACACAGGAAACCTTAAGCCAAGTATGAGTCATAAAACCAGGTACAGGACCCACAGATGTTTATTGAGTTTCAGGTGCAAACAGGAGGGTAGGGGAGTGAAAGTAAGACGAGTTTGTCGATTTGGAAAGGTAGCATTAAAGAGAACCTGTTATTTAGCCGCTGGGGCTTTGGAAACATTGTGAAAAGACATCAGGCAAACATGTGCAAATAAAGCTTTTTGCAATAAACGAAAAGTTAACAGGAGCACTCACCTTGCCTTCCCATTTCATGAACCGAGTTTTATCCTCCACCAGGCACTGTAAGAGACGTTGGGCACCCTGAGCCTGCGTTCCCCTCTCTCGGCCCGAAAGGATCCGGACCGCATTCTTCTCAGGCACAACCCTCATGGCACCGCCGGCGCCGTCACTACGACTTCTCAGAACAAGACGAAGGAGCTGACATTCAGGTGGGGACAGGCAGACTTCATGGAAGCCTAAGTGGGTCAAAGGGAAAGAAAAGGTTAGGCTGCTAATCGTGTGACAATTTAAAGCAAGTTAAATCCGAAGCCAAAATAATGATTTAAAAAGGAATAAAAAACATAATATGTTAGTCCATCACAGGAGTGAGCTTGGAGCAGTGACTACTTTTACAACACACACGGGGACCATGGGGAACAAAAGTAGCCACCTTCCAGAAGCAAGGACAGTGTCAGAGATGATCTGAGGATCTACAGCCGAGTGATACACATTAAAGTTAAATTTTTGTTTTGAGTTTAGTGTCAATTAACTACAGCACGCCAGTCAATGTTGAAGGTCATGTAAAGCATGTCTAAACCCAAAAACAAAGCCACAACATCCATGCTCCGGTAAAGGTCAATATATTAAATAGAATATTAAATAAGCTACACTTCCATTATTGACCTGCAGAGATTTTTTGGCTCGGTAACTCTGCTAGCACATGCTGAGTTTTCAGGAGAATTGCTCTTTGGAAAATGCCATATTTATATCCATTGGCCTTTTGCAGTTTTTCCATTATCAATGCAAAGCACGTGGCCCATTAAAATGTCTGTCTGGCTCCTATCTTCACTGACTGGCTCTTGTATTTAAGCTTTTATGTCTGGAAATTAATTTAAAAACAAAATAATAATATTGTAGAGCTTTTGTAATACAATTCCCATGATTTGTCTTTTTAAAATCTGCAAGTACAGAAAAAGTAGAGATGTGGGAGGGACCGAGCAGGCTCCACCCACTACAAGATGCCCGCAGAAAACTACAGGAGGGAGCAGATACAAGACCAGTCACCCTGCACAAGGAGAGAGAGCAGCAGTGACCGGTCTTTATTACAGGAAGTCTCACACTTGATTACTGCACAGATCTGGAAGAAAAATACAAAAGCTCAACCAGATTCAAATAAGAATGCACAAGTCTTTTGTATTTGGACCAAGGGGTAAGCAACCTTGGCACTCAAGCTATGCTTAAAGCACAACTCGGGGCAAACTTTTTCTTAACCCTTGTAATGGGGCTAACCCCGCACTGCAAGGTTTAAGAGTTAGTTTTTGTCTAGGTGTAAAAATAAAATTATACTCACCTGATCCTCCTAACGGGCTTGCTTTTAGGGCCCATTCACACCACATCCAGATCATCATCTCCAGACCAATTCAGATGGTTCCGGACCCAAAATGCATCCTAATGTATCCCTATGTTATTTCTGGCCTCTGTTCACACCAGTGCAGTCCGTTCCAACCCAGACCAGAAAAATACTGCACGTCTCATTTTGTCTGATCTGGAATTATTATTATTATACAGGATTTATATAGCGCCAACAGTTTGCACAGCACTTTACAATATAGGGAAGACATTACAATCACAATATAAAATCAGGATAAGATGGTGAGGAAGGCCCTGCCCGTGAGGGCTTGGAATGCATGGAAACGCATTCAAACGCACCTGAAAGCCCATTTTAAGCTAAAAAAAAACAAACAGCTCCAAGACGTGGCAAAATGCAATGCACTGCGTTCCTGATCTGGTCAAGAAAATGGTGTGAACCTGCCCTTAGACCGGTCCCTGGAGACTTTCTCCCCCTACGTGGAGGAGGGGACAAGCAGGAGGGAGCGCTGTCATAGCCGGCTGGCTCCGAGCATCAGACGAGTATTTTTGTTATTTTTTGCACCCAGACAAAAAAACAAGCACATAACCCTTGCAGTGGAGGTGTAGCCCCATTGGAACAGTTAAGAAAAAGTTTGCCTGGAGTTCTTCTTTAAACTACAAATCCCATAATGCCTCTAGGGGTTATATTTGCGGCTGTCAAAGTCTGGCAATGCCTTATGGAATTTGAAGTTCCTCAACAGGTTGCCTACCCCTGATTTAGACAATATTTGCTTATGCCAAAGTTCAGCTTTAATAACATATAGGAAAGATATACGTGTGCAAGTTTATACATCTCACCTTTAGACATGGTCAAAAAAAAGGAGAAGAACATCAAACTACAAGTTATAACACAGAACAAAATACACAGACACCACAGCAAAAGAACAGAACTGGGACAAATGGCCGTGCCGATGCAATCAGATATCCACAGCTTTGTACAGAGCAGCCCTAACAAACAGAACCATCACCTCAAGATTAAAAGGACAACTATGGGGTCAGGGCTTTTTCCGCCATAGTTCTCGTAAAGGGTTCCGGGAGAACACAAACTAGCGTCCTCCCGTCACCCAAAGCTCAGTATACCGCGAGCTACATACTGAGACGACGCAGCCGGAACGGATCCCAACATTGCTGTCGAGATCCACCCAGCTGCGGGATTGACAGCTGGCTCTGCCTATCCAAAAGGCAGAGCCAGCTGTGCCCGCCCCCTTCCATTCCGCCAGTCAGCGCTGGAGGATCGGACAGGGGAGGGGGGGAATCCCTGCAGGGAGCCCTGAGTGACAGTCACGGCTCTCGCTCGCCTCATAATTCTCGTTTAATTATAGAGAAGAGGATAGAGAGATGACGCACGCATGTCTGACATCTCAGTAATGTTACAGAAGAAACCAATGTAGTACACCACGATTAAAAAAAAAAGAGTCAGACGTAGAGAGCGGAAGGTGCCGAATTCAACATTAATTTGCCTCCCGTTGCTTCGGGATCCAAATTCATTCAGCTTTTGAATTACATCAACCGCAATGCTATATAAGACACACAGCCAGGAAAGGGTATTTAAGGCTGACTGATACATAAACATTGAAATAAAAGTACCATCATAAATAACACATTATAATAATAACACACTGACACAGCAGTGTACACACTCCGCGCTCATCTAGATATGCAATTACAACGCTGTACGGCTTTTGCAGATTTTATTGGATCAGTTACACAATGAGCCGCCTTACACAAGCCTAGACTTTGGTGCCGCAAAAAAAACAAAGGGAACGTCAATGCCGTTCCGGAAACTCAATCACGCTCAGGTAACATCTCTTACAAAACTGCAAAAAGGAAGGAGAACGAGAGCATTACGTAGCAGAGACAAGCCAATGAGCCATCTGAGACTGGGCTTGACGCACCTAACAGAATGCTATATAATTGTTAATTACACACTACAGACAAGATCTGCAGCCAATCAATGACTCCGGACTAAAGGAAGGTTAAAAGAAGAACTCCCGGCATTGTAAAAATAAACCCTTAGAATCGGGCTACCCCTGCACTGCAAGGGTCAAGTCAGGGGTGGGCAACTCTGGCCCTCTAGCTGTTGTGAAACCACAAGTACCATGAGGCATTGCAAGACTGACAACTACAGGCATGACTCCCAGAGGCATGTTGGGATTTGTAGCTAAAGCACAGCTGGAGGGTTGGAGTTCCCCACCCCTGGGTTAAGTCCTCGTTTTAGTCTAGGGCAGGGGAAGCCAAACTCTGGCCCGCCAGCTGTGGTGAAACTACAAATCCCATGATGCATCTCTCTCGGGGAATCATGTCAGTGGCTGTGAGAATCTTGCAATGCCTCATGGGATGTGTAGTTCAACCACAGCTGGGGGGCCAGAGTTTGGCTACCCCTGATCTAGGGTCTATAATAAAGAAGATATAGTCACCTGATCCCTGGTCCCGTGGTGGTTGTTGGAAATGCAACACCATATGCTAATGTACTGATATGTCTTTTGAGCTGTAGATGGCGCTGTAGTGCAATGTTTTACTATATGCATGCTTATCTATGATACACAGGACGTTTTCCTATCTATATGTTTCCTGCACAATTCTGTATTCACATATAATGTCCTTATAAGCAAGTAATTCAGCACACAAGATCTCACTGCTTCATCTAAACACATAACCAACAGTGGTGCCCGCTCACCTCTTTTCCTCTCAGAAGTGAGCTTGGAGCAGTGACTACTCACCATACTGGTAAAGACAAGTGGAAGCAGATGGAGCTCCCCGATGTCTGCGTTTGGTCCACAAGCCTTGTATACGTGTAGTGACCAAACATCAAAGTCACATGAGGAGCATCTCACAAGTCCGCGGTCAGCGAGCAGATGACCCCCTTCTTAGCATCAGAAGAATGCAAGCACATGCGTGAGGAAACATATGAATGGTTTTCAATATTAGCTATTGCTACCACTGGATACACTGTTTATTCATTCAGATCCTCTAACGTTTTGTCACATTTTATTTGGAAATGGATGATCCTCTTGCAAACATCTTCCAATTCACATGTACACACATCGGTCTCTGGTTTACACTTAATCTGCCAACCAACCCCGAGGAAAAATCAGCATTTAAAGCGGAAGTAAAGTGGAAAAAATGATAAACTGATGGGAGGTAGGGATTTTTGGCAGAAGGTAAATGCAAGTCTGTTCTGCCAAAAAAAAAAAAACTTCTTCCTCTCTCCCCCAGAGATTATTTATTTATTTTTTTCTGTGCCCACATGCATTGTGCAGTGTACACTCTCAGCTCATTCACAGCATCTCTGATGCCATGAATGGGCCTGATGTTGGAGGATGCAACTCCTCTACACATGCACAGGATTTGTTATCAATGGCCACCCAACGGCCAAAGAGGAGGCCTGCGAACCCAAAAGTAGCAGCAGAGGGGGATGGAAGATGTATTGCACGGCATTGGAGGACACACTTGAGGGGCAAGCGTGCCAAGAATACTGGGCATAAAAAAATTAGGGATGCACTGATACTAGTATCGGTGCCGATGCCGAGTATTTGGGCGAGTACTCGTACTCACCCAAATGCTCCGATGCCTAGCCCGATACTTCCGGTATCAGGAAGCCGGGCAGCGCGTCATTACATGCTGCCCAGCTTCCTGATTGGCTGGTAAGCCAGCTCCATGTTCTCGTCACAAATAACAATTTACAGCTCATCATTCAAACATACATTTCTACAAACATTCTGACAACCAAAGAAGTAAAAAAAAAAGAAAAGGCTCATGCAGGCAATCTCTGACCTGCTCATTATCAAATGCAATACAATTTACAGAGCTTAAGCAAGTGAATCCAAGGAGACTCGGAGCTGGGCAA